TACTATTCTGTTTAATTATGAACTTGGTGACACGTTTTTAGCATTAAAATATGTGGTACTTATAGTAACTTTTACCCCGGAATTCTCAATTTCCTCGGCAGTTTGATTTCGGAAAAGGTCAATGTCGACTTTGAAATTCAGCACAGAATTAGCCGCGCCTCAAGAGCTTTCTGCAAATTAAAAGACAGGGTTTTTTACAATCATTGGCGTAAGTATAGGGGAGTCCGCGAGGGCTCCGACACCCCTTCCCTCCTGTGCTGCTGGGCACCACCCAGAGAAATATTGAATTTTGACTGAACGATGACTCTTGGCTAAATATTAGCTTTTATTTGTTTGATATATAGTAAAAATTATTTTTTCTGTTTTTATTTAGTTAATATTATTTTTGTGTTTAAAAAATGTGTGTTAGTTTTTATTTTTTTTACAAAATTTGTAGGTATTTAAGTAATTCACGGGAACACGGGTTGATATAACCAAGTCTATCAAATTTAGTGAGAGAAATTCATGTAAACGTTTTATTCAAAAAGTGTATTTATTGGTAAAAACCAAATCCCTAGACTACCCCTGCGTTCAACCCTAAACCCCCCAGGATGAATTGTTAGTTACGCTAATGTCTACAATCATGACTTGAGCAGAAAAATAAAACTTGCAGTGGACCAAGCAATAATAATCCCCACCATGTTATATGAAAGCGAAATATGGGTGCCGTACCGCCGACACATGAAGGCATTAAACAAGTTGCAACAGAGACACCTTAGACAACTGTTAATAATCAAATGGTACCACCATGCCTCAAATGTACCAATCCTTGAAAAAGCTAGCTGTGAGAGTGCTGAAGTCATGATTACTAAATCCCGCAAGAAAACCGCCTACCGAAATATCTTCTTACGGTGAGCTTGTAGAGGGTAAGAGCAAACCGGGTGGGCAACTCAAAAGATCAAGGATATTTTCCATGAAAACTTAAAGGGGATAAGCATTCAGAATCGGTGGAAAGAAGCAGCGCACAAAAGAACGCAATGGAGAAGAACTGCGTAAACTTAATTAACAACGACAACCAAAAAGTAAAGAGGCATCAAAGTAATGAGATTTTTGAATTTCCGGAGTGCGGAAGAGAGATAACATCATGTATCGGGCACAGAAAAGTCACAGAAAAGCTCATGAAAGAATGATGCTTTTGATGCTTGTCAAATACTCGTCAGCGAGTAATGGCAGTAAGTCTATCTGTAGCTACGGGGTATCCGTAAGGGGGGACACGATATTCTCTCGATGTTTCTCGTAAAAAATTAGGCGACGCGTCCCATCAATAAAAATTCGACAAACTTGCAAGTAGCCAATAAAATGAGTGGGCGGAGTGTTTTGCGGTGAGATACTCGTCAAGTCAGTCAAGTCCACGTAGACCCCCTGCCGCTTCTATTTAGGTAGCGATTTATAAAATATATTGCTAAATGTTTTTTGTCCGCATTCCTTTCATAGCTTTTCCTTCATTAGCATATTTCCTTTCAACGCAGATCCAGTAGACGTAGGTACTTTAAGTACTTTTACCCTCAAAATTTCATTCGAATCGTTAAAAGCACTTGGAAGAAAATTATAATAAATCGAAAGAAAAATTAATTGGACCTACGTTGTTGATATGAAAAATAGATCTTATTATCTTAATACTAAATCACACAAACTTGAAAATACCGCGAGCCCTCAATTTCAGATCAAACAAAACTTTTCCCAATTGTCCTACATCAAAATAATAAAATAAGAATAACTTCAATTACTGAAAAATCGTTTTCTCCGGATAAGAATAAATAAACAGCTGTCAAATCCAAACAAGAGAAAGTTGCGCACTAAAAATAGTTGATGATAGTATCCGACGAAATATAAAGATGGAAGATTTCTAAAGCAGAAGAAAAATAATCCTAAGTACCGCCTCTTGAATTAGTCTTCAATTAAAGCTGCGTAATAAACCAATATATGTTATGTAATATATCTCTGACATTTACTATAGTGCTAATTCAAAGAAACCAAAAGTACTTAACTGTGAAACTGCAAAACGCCGGATATTCTTAATGACTAGACAACTTGGCTTTTGTAGATATATAATATTTAAAAAACACACAAATTTATATACTACCAAATTTACATACCATTTCAATAAGTATCTTTTTCCTAATCAAACGAATAATATATCGGCTTTATGACGAAAAGGTGTATTTTGATTTTTGCTACTTTTCAGGAGAGCAATTTAAAGAAAATCACTTACTTTATTTGGCCAATAAATGTAAAGTCTTTAATTTTTTAATAATGTTTTTATATTAACACTTAAACGGAGACATTGAGGAAACATTCTGAAGATAAATTGTGCGTAAATTCTAATAAATAATTTCTTTTTAGTTGTTTAATAGAGATAGGCCTTTTAGTTATAATAATAATAAATTTATTTCCGAACGAATAGTATACATACGCCCATGTAAAATAAATTTAAAAATGATGGTAAAGTGTTCTTAATAAGGAAAAAAAAACAATATTCAGATTATGGAATACATACAAGAAAATACAATACATACATACAGAAAAAATCTGAAAATCACCAAAAAATCAGAAACAAATGTTTTTAAATACTTTTATTCGCGTTGGATTAGATCAACTGAAAACAAAGACAATTTTCATTCCAGAAGCAAAGACAATAATCAATTAAAATACACTTATCTAGCTTATTTTAATAATATTGTTTTTTATACAAATATATTTTTTTTTACTAATATATTTTTAGTAATTATTCAGTTAATTGAGGACATTTAAACTCACGGTCCATTTAATAAAAACCAAACTAAACAAAAACAAAACATGTTTCTTCATTCGTGCCTTTTTGATAAAAATAACTGTGGACTAACAGTTTCTGTTTTCCCTGTTCAATGATAACAAATTCGACTTCCATTCTACGTGTTTATGCAGGATGATGATAGGCACAATAAATAAAATTTTCCAAAAATTGACAGGGATGACAATGCCAATGGCCTGACAATGATAATGAGATAAAAATTATTGTATTTTTCGGGCAAGTTTTTGGTCCGCTAAAATGTTCTTAGGGAAATTATAATTTCGGGATTTTTTTCATTAGGGCAATTTTCGTTTCGTTGTTTTGCTTTCGATCAATTTTTCTTCGACCTTTTATTCTCGGACAATATTTTGCATACCCGATACAGCTATGTGCAGAGTCTAGCTTATTCTAACAATGGTTTTTGGCAAAAAAAACAGACTCAAAATCACACTGTAAAAGAGAGCTGCTGCCATGATAGAAGTTTTATTTAGTCCCAAGCAACCATCAGAAAAAAATTAGGTAGCATTTTCATAACTTAAAACAAAAGGACCTATCTCAAATTCCATCTTTCTTGTAGTATGACAATTGGTATAACAATTGATATAACAAAGAGCCCTATCTCAACATACCTCTCTTCGTCATAACGAAAGAAAAACAATAACACAATAATATTATTTTTGAGATGGGGCAAATTTTTAAACGAATATAAAATGAAAAAGGTGCAATATTGAGATGCGCAAATTCGCTATGTTAAAACATCTCAAAATCGCCAAAAATCGAAATACGCCTTTTCGTCATAAAGCCGACGAATAGAATGCTACAAATAAAGTCATAAAATTAGTTAAACGCTTTTATCTACGTCAGTGAGTTAAGAAGCTATTAACTCACGCATTTTGAGTGAGTCAAGAGCTTCTTAGCTGACGGATTTTCACTACCGCACTCCTTGTTTAGATGACTACCAAAGAGAAAAAAAATATTTTGTAAAACATTTATTTTACACTAAATACCTACTAAATACAAATAAACTGTTCTATTGATAATAATTATTATATAAAAACATGAAAACTTATTTATTATAAATGTTAATGATACAGTTATTTGAACAATCTTTTAAGTAAATGCCTGATGAAGCATATACAGGGTGTCCCAGAAATAAGTGCAAGTATTTTAAGGGATGGTAGATCTCGATAAAAGAAACATATTTTCTCTTTATCGTTTTTCAAAATAAGTCCAAAATAACTGAGTTATTTTACTTTGAAAATTTCCCAAAAAAAATGATTTTTTGCTAAAATTTTGAGAACCACTGGATCTTTTCTCGATTTTCTTTCTTGTAAATTTAATATAATACCTATGTTGCCATATTGTGAAGAAATTATGTTTTTAAACTAAAACTAAACAAATTTCCAAAAAATTCTTAAAAAAATTTCGAATTATCAAAAAAAATTTTTCACGAAAAACCCCTCATAGGCGTATTTCTGGGGTTAAACTATACTACCAGTTAAAATACTTGCACTTATTTCTGGGACACCCTGTATATTCATTTTAATAGATATCATAGTACGTATCATTGAATAGAAAGCCAAAGAAACGAAGGCTTATAAGTAGCGGATAAATTGGAAAAATATGTTATGAGTACCTTTTCATTTCAGTTGTGTACTTTTTTGCACCATTTTTCATACTTAGAGTATGTATATTCATACTCCTGTTTCGATCTTGCTGGAAGCAATCCAGAAACGGCTCTGAATGCCTCTTCTGCAATGTCACAGGGAATACTTTCCGAATCGCTCATTTTTTAAACTAGTGACATCAATATTATTTACTGTCATATTGACATTGCCATGCATGGTGTTATTTGAACAAAGGTATTAAGGTAATTGATTTTTAGGATAAGTGTATAGTCAAGTACAATAATTTTTTAGATTCATTGTGTGTTTTTATAGTTAGACGTAGATAAAATATTGTACAATACACGCAAGTTAACTCCATTAAGGATATTTGTGTGGTTACACAACTCGTGCTACGCATTCGTTGTGCAACTTTCACGCGCGTATCTTAATGATGCTGTTAACTCACTTGTATCGTAAATATCTATTTTCTAATTTGTTCAAGAATAACATAAAAAATATTTGTTGTTATTGGGTTATTGAAGTCTAAAATAACCCAATAATATGAGAATAAAAAATGTGCTTACATCCATGTTCCATTTGTGAAAGATCTTCTTAGAGCTGTAGTGGGATTCGTCCAAAATAATCCCAGCAATAAATATCCTAAGCACTGGATCATGATGATGAATTTCCTTCGAAATTTCTCGGAAAATCTCATCTGTAAATAAAAATATAATATTTAAAATGGATTAAAAATGTAGATACAATAAAATATACCTAAATTGTTTAATTGGTTAGTTAATATAATTATAGCTTCTTCAATCTACTTTCAAATAATAAATCAGTGCCACAAAATTATTGTTTTTTTAGCAATTTTTTTGTTTAACTTCGTTATCCAAGTATTTTTGTAGTTAACTTTAGTGGGAAATTGAAATATAACTTTTTAAAAAATTTTTAGTGGGGCTCTGAGATCTGCAATGAATTGGTTTTATTATTTGTCGAAAACCAATACTATAGAAAAGCATATAATAGTAGAGAAAAAAGTTTAAAGCGTAATTAAAAAAAAATATATAAGAATTGGGCAAAAGTCAGTGACGCATATTTTTTAGAATAATAATTATCTTCGATAAGGTATGACATGTTCCCCTGGGACACCACTGGACTGGATTTTAATTTAAATTGGCCTGAATTAAGTTAATACGAATTAAGCATTAATTAATCACTATAACACTGACTAATTTCATGAAAATCTGCTAAAATATATTAAAGATAATCAAAAAAAGCCTATTTATTTAAAGTATAATTAATGTATTTTAGTCCGGTCAATTTAGACATTGGAAGGTACATAAATTTACAACAAGCTGAAAATGCTTGTAATTGTTTAAAACATAATTAAAAATAACATTTTAAAATTCCGAATCATTCCGGTTCCTGGAAAAAAAATTATACGAGGTCAAAGGTCAAAAATCTCGAAAAAAAATGTTTATGTCGCGATTTTCAGCGTTAAGTTTTGTCATAAAAGTGCCTCAGACATAAATTATAGACCATAAATATAACGCACTAAGTACACAACCTCATATAACCTAAGTACACAAACTCATAGGTGGCGTGGAAACGTGTTCATATTATGACGATTACAACTCTATGACTCGTTATATCTCAGAAACAGGGGCTCTAAGGAAACAGTGGCTCAATACTTTTTATTGATATATTTTTTATAGAGAATTTTATGATCTATAATTTTTGTCTAAACGGTAATTTTATGACAAAACTTACCGTTTTGCTGAAAATCGCGAAAAAACAATTTTTTCGAGATTTTTGACCTTTGACCTCGCATATTTTTTTCCAGGCACTGGAATGATTCGAAATATTAAAATGTTATTTTTAATTATGTTTTAAAGAATTACACGCACTCAGTTTGTTGTAAATTTATGTAGCTTTACTCTTATTTTTTGGTCTAATTTGACCGGACTATTTTTAAAACTATGCATTTGTAGAATGTAGAATGTAGAATGTTTAGGAGGGGAGTTAATCACCGCGACCTTACAGATCTATTGTGTGTTCCCCTGTCTTGAGTTATAACGAGTTATAACTCATCATACAGTCTCAGGGCTTTAACAAAAGCAAGTTTCTGAGACGGCTCCACAGAGGCCAGCTCTCCATCCTCGACATCAGCCGTACCAAAGTTCATGGCAGGAACGGTCGTCGTCTCGGTGCACTCAGTGATAAGGTGTTCTGGTGTTTCCCCATTTTCCCCACAGAATCCGCATTCGTCGTTATTACTCAGTTTCAACCTACTGACGTGTTCGTTGAGGAGACAGTGTCCTGTCAGAAACCCCGTGAAAATCCGAAGATTGTTTTTAGATGAGATGTTTGGCAAACCCATGCTAAACATATCAGACCTAGGAGACATATCACCTATGCATATCACCCTCGAACATAACGGCCTATGTTAAAAGGCTGGGTCTTGAGGGTGAACTTTAACGCTCTTTGTATATTAGAGCTTGTAGAAACTGAGCCACAATAGGCCCTCGCGGCCGCAGTGGAGGGTCCCATGGGACCCACTCTTAGTCAATACAATACAATACAATGTATATTCATACTTCTGTTTCGATCTTCCGAATTGTTTATTTTTTTTAAATCAAGGAAAACCTCGAGGAAAACCTTTGATTTTTCTCGGTCGTAAGTTCTGAGAAACTTTTTCGAGTGTCCTAGAACGTTGGAGGACACCCATTCCAGGTTACGGATGGAGTCTATGCATTTACAGACTCCAGACTCATGTTTATAGGAACACTTTTCCACATTTCTTGTTGCGAAATCAAACTGAAATTTGACCGTGTATTTTTGAACACCCTGTATACAGAGGCATTTTTTTTGTAGGTCATATTTTAAGTTAATTAATCTATAATAGAGAATATATTTCTCTTTTTCTATTGCCTTGGATTTGAGGTCCATTACAACGCAAGGGTTAGTCGGTCCACTTATACAGAGCCCCGCATGTAAGGAAGACGATAATACAATGTGTTGCCTCCTGCTCCCCCAAAGTTGAGACCAGTAGAGGCTAGTCTTCTATCTAGCCACGCATACCTTTGACCTGGTCCCGCCATCATAGGATTTAGGTTTTTGGTGAGGTTGTCTCATCTTGGTCCAGGCGGTTAAGCTAAGGACCCTCCCCCCACACCCTCTGACCGTAATACATGACCACAGACAGTAGAGGGTGCCTGGTATGACGGACAGGGTAGTCCCATCCGGTATCGTTATATGTCTTGATGCTAGCCACGACACTACAGCCATGAAACCCAGCCAAAATACCATCAGAAGGTATTACCCCTAGCACCTAACTAGGAGTTTCCCCACCTACGACAAGATCACGCATCTCCTAGAGGAAGTTTTAGTGTACATACAGTATTAGAAGGTTTATTTGGTCCCACTTTTAACTGGCAATATGTAACTTTTTGCTCACGATGTCAAAAAAACTATTAAAAAAGAGGTTAGATCTACATATCTATATCAAGATAATATTACAAATAAAATGCGCTTTTCTAATTAAAGTCTACAGAAAAGTATCTGTAAAGTTGTGGCATACACCAACAGGAAGATACTTATAATAAATAACAGGCTCTGTCTTCTAAACTTAAATTATTAAGCAACTGTATACCGTCGTTAAAGGTAAAAAATGAACCCTGAATCAACTAGACCATAAACATCATCGCAAATCTCAGACAACAACCGCGGTTTTATAACTGCAACTAACTAAAACCATTTACATTCGAAGAGATAACATATTTCTACTTGATTACCGGCAAGACTTTGCTAATCTAATTTTCTAACGGCTGTTTTTATCGTACTACTTGCAATATAAAGACATTACATTATGTATATTCCGCTTGGAGTGTCAATTATTGAAATTGCAAGAAGTAAAACTAATACTCTTGTAATACTAAAGTCAATAATAATTTGTTTTAGTATTGTAATATCAAGATGATTCAGATAAGGTTTATTATTATTAGAATCATAATGCATTTAAATTATATCTATATACTAGAGATGAGCAAAATTGCGATTCTTTAATCGCAATTGAAACTGCGATTGCGATTTTTAAATATCAGCGACTGTAACCTGCGATTTTTTAATATTTAAATATTGTACTAGGTATATAATTGTCTGTGTATGTATCTATAGCTTAACAGTTCAAAACAGTTAATATTAATCAGTAGTTTAGTTTTTAAGTCTTTTTAACATTGAGTTACGACGCTCCCATTACGAAGACCCATTAAATCGGACAATTTTTTCGCTACTGATAATGTAGTTTCACAGTGCATGAAATGCCGTCAAAATATCATGAAAAGATCTTCGAGTCCCATCTCCATTCCGAGTTTCAAACCCCTAGCTCACATAGGACCCGAGTCACGATGCTCCATCTTAACCTCCGATCGTTACCGCTTTTCCTGACAGGTCTCGTGTGTCACAGCCTTCAATGTTTACTCCCATTGCTCTTATAGAAGTTTCACTTCAATACGATTTGGGCATTGGAGAAGACACGAAAAACAATAGACGATGAAAACTATTTTTCCAAGGCATCTTGATTAAAAATTAGTGCTTGACACAGACATGCCATGACACTCTAGATTGAAATTTAAAATACGATTTATTAAGCCAAAATGTCAAAAGTTACCGTAATGTATGCCATTCTATTCAGAATATCATTTCTATCAAATAAAGTAAAAAAATACCAAGGGTGATGTTTAAAAATCAAAAGTTGTAGTAATTTACGGTAAAACAGGAAGTGGCCAATTTTTGGTCAATTCCTGTTAATCGGACCTTAACCCTAACATATATATTTAATAGCAGCGGGTGAGCTACACAGTGTTGACAGTTTCTTTTCAATTTATCTTTCTAATATTTTCCCCAAAATATCTGGTTATTTGGTCAGTACGGCAACGTCGCTAACTGGAGTTTTCTGATGTCCTTTCTGGATTGTCAAAATCTTTGGAGGTTCATTTTGGTCGATGATTGTTCTTTTCCCTCCGATCGCCTGATGGAATCCTTGCCGGTATGGTTCATGTTGGGATTGCCAGCGTAATTTTTGTTATTAATTAACTTATTATTAATGTGGTTGGAGAATATTATTAGAATTTTTACAAGAGTTTGCCTGAACCAAAATAGATTTGTTTTTTGATGTGCCATGTGGCTAGATATTGGGTAAGTTAACTTATTCACGTTTTTTGCCTATTTCTATTCTTATTCTTTTAATAATTTTCATTAGATTTGGACAATTTTGGAATGGATCCACTAATTTTGTTAATTGTCGATGGTAGCTGGATGAGTTGTTAGTTACGCTTTGGGGTAAGGTATCCTAACCTAAAATCCATAAATATTAATTTAAATATTATCTACAGGGTTTTTTCTTTCCGGTTTTTACTTTTCCTGGTTTTCCTTTCTTGCTTTGATGGTTTTATTTTTTTATATTCACTTGCACGTGATTACATGGTGTCGAGACATCCACCCTGTTTTTCAACTCAACAAAGATTTGTGGCCTTGCTGATGCAACTGTAGTTCCTGGAGTTCACCCTGTTCAACCCTGTTCAACATTGCCGTGCTCAGCTGCTGCTGTTGGATAAGTTACCCAGGCTTGTATACTTTTATTTTGGGGTACACTACTTATAAAAAGGTATAGATAGTAAAGCCTGATTTAATTTTATTAATTTTTTTGAACAT